CTTAAGTTGTTTTGTCTCCTTTTTTCAATTCTTTTCTCTTCTTAATTTCTTATATAATTTTTCTTTCTTCTTGCTATTTTACAAGCATTTATCTGGTAATATGAACAGCTAGTTGGAAGACAATGGTATATATTACAACTGTAATTACTGTGAAATTCATAAGATTTTGTTAGGTGAAATTCTGTATCACTTGTAACTTTTGTTTTAATAGTATTTTGTACTTTTTAAAAATAAAAAAAAATAAAAATACAAACTGGCAAATTTTATAAATTTATGGTTTATGCATATACCATAAATTTATATAATGATATGGATACAAACAACAATTATATTGATTTATGCATACAAATTAGAATAATTACATCAAGCTGATGAGCACATACATCTTAATGACTGAATATTTGCTATAGTGAGAACTCTTAAATTTGTTTTCCTAGTAATTTAATTGCACAATACTCTGTTATCTACTACATTCACCACACTGTGCAACAGAACTAAAGAAGAATACAAAAATCACTTTGAAATATAAGCTTCTGTACCCTTTCATCCTCTCCTCCTTCCCTTCATGCCAACCTGTATCACTACCATTTGTCTGACCTATGAGTTTTAGATTGCACCTATAATGCTGCCATGATATTTGTGTTTCTCTGCCTGACTTATCTCACTGGTAATGTTCTCCAATGTCATACCAATTCTGTCTTTTGGTCACAAAAGACAGAATTTCTTTGCTTTTAATGCAAAATAGTATTCCCTTGTGTATGTAATTTCACACTGTCATTGCCCACTCTGCTGCTGATAGACACAGGTTGACTTCATAACTTTACCTTTGTGTTCACACAGTAGTGACCATGGAGATACAGTCTTTTCTTCAAACTCGTTTCAAACAGCACTTTGAGTAGATACCCAGAATCAGAATCACTGAATCATATGATAATTCTAGGTTTAGTTTTTGAAGACTGTCATACAACTGTCAAAACTTTCCCATTCTCCACAACCTCTCCGTTTCCTGTTTTTCCTTATTTATTTTTGATGAGTGCCATTCTTACCAAGGAAAGATAATATTTCATTGTGATTTTAAGTTACATTTTTCTAATTACTAATGATGGTTAGTATTTTAAAACTACATTTGTATGTCATCTTTTGAGAAATGTTAATTTAATTTAGTGTCCTTTGCTTATTTTTTTAATTGAAGTGTTTTGTTTCATTTTGTTTTGAGGCAGAGTCTCATTATACAGTTCAGGCTGGTCCTGAGCTCACTTTGTAACCCAGGCTGATCTCATACTAACAATGATCCTTCTAACATACTAACAATTCCAAGTACTGGGATTACAGGTGAGGGCTGCCATGCCTGGCTCTTTACTTTAGGTTTTTGCTTTGCAGTGGACAAATTTGAGCTTCTTGTGTATGTTTTGCTTAATAAACACTTATCATGCATATGGCCTATACATAGTTTTCTCAGTCTGTAAGTTTTCTATGCATGCTGCTAATTATTATTAATTCTGAGAAGTAGCTTTTTTTAGTTTCAGGTAACCCATTTGTCTGTTTTGTGCTTGTGTTGCTGCTTATACTTTTAGATTTAAATCTAAAAAGTTATTTCCCCAGATTTGTCTTTTTTCTTTATGTTAAATATTGCTTTGGTGACTTGGGGCTTTTTTGTGGTTTCATTTAAATTCAAGTATTATTTTTTATTTTCTTGAAGAGTGACACTGTAGTTCAGATAAAAATTTCACCTGAGTAGCAGATGCTTAAGAGCAGTGTGGACACTTAACAATATTAATGGTTCCTATCAAGAGACACAGAAAATTTTTCCACTATTTGTGTGCTCTTCATCTTCTTTTATCAGCATTTTATGATTTTTTAATGAGCAGATATTACACCACTTGGGTTAAATTTATTCCTAGATAAGTATAATATTTTTTGTAGCTATTATAGATAACATTGTTCTGTTGAGTTCCTTTTCAGATGGGTCATTGCTAATATATAAAAATAATTTTTTTTGCATATTCATTTTATGTCCTTTATTTCACTGTATTCATTTTGGTGAAGTTTGGAGGGTTTCGTAGCTATAATATGTCATCTTCAAACCATGAAGGCCTTACATCTAGCTATACTGTTTGGGCAACATTTATTTTTCCTCTTGCCTAATTGCTTTCACAAGGATTTCCAACACAGATGGTAGGAATCAGCATCCTGTCTTATTCTAAATTTAACAGGAAATTCTTTCAAGTTTTCAAATTTAAGGATAAGTTGAGCAGTGAAATTTTCATATTTGGCCTTGGTTGTATTGAGTTACTTTTTTATCTTTAGATTTGTAACTTTTTAATGAAAAGTATAGCTTTTGTCAGTTTCGTTTTCTGCATCTGAGAGGATGATCATATTTTTGACTTTCAGTTTATGACAACATGTTTCACACTTTTTGTACACAAGAATACTACTGTTTTTGGTGGATTATTTTTTTAATCAATTCTATTTGGTAGAATTCCATGGAAGATTTTCATGTTTGTGTTTATGAAGGCCTACAATTTTCTTTTTTTATTATTTTAGGGAAGGGTCTACAGCATGTTCAGGGTCTCACTACTAGATCAGACTCCTAATTATCCCCATTTACTGCTTCCCAGGAGTTGGGATTATAGGCATGCACCACCATGCCCAGTCTCAATTGCCTTCTTAGTGTGCTCTGGGAGGTGGGGCCTGCTTGGAGGTTCATTAATCTGCTGAGATATTCTTTTCTCCTCCTCCTGTTTCTCTTCCTCCTCCTCATCTTCCTTTTTATATGATTGTCTCATTTTAGCATTAGTGGAACTTTAACCTCATAAAAATAATTTTCTAGTTTTTTTTTTTATTTTTTAAGAAACTGAGAAGCACCAGTAAGTACTAGTTGTTTAAATGTTTGGTGTAATTCATCAACGAAGCCATCAGGATCTGTAAGGCATTTTCTTTGATGGAAGAGTTTTCATTACTGATTTATTCCCCTCACTTGTAATTGATCAATTCAGATGATCTTTGTCTCCTTCATTCTGTCTTTGTAGGATTTATTGGACTGGGAATTTATCCACTTTTTTCTAGCTTATCAAATTTGAGTGCATGTAATTTTAATAGTTTTATCATTCTTATGGTTTATATGCAGATGTCCCCCAAAAGTCTACTGTGCTCATAGGTGGCAGTTCTGAGACTCAATTGAATCTTGGGATGTGATTGGTCTACTGATGAATTTATAGCTAGAAGTGATGTTGGTAGGTGAAGGCTGACTGGAGGGGTGGCTAGGAGGGTATACCTTCTTCCTCCCTCTCTGGATTCTTCTTTTTGGTTCCCACTGCTATTCCATGAGCTCTTTCTCCTCTGCCACATCCCTCTGCCATGCTGTCCCACCTTGGAAACAGCTCACTGTAAACTGAAACCTCTATAAACTGTAAGTCAAAATAAATATCTGTTCTTATAATTTGCAGATGTCGGGTACTGTGTCTCAGTGACTAGGTAACAAGACAGTGACACTTTATTTCTGAAGTGCTAGTTATAATGCTCATTCTGTTCATTTTTCATTTCATCTGAGTCTTTTCTTCTTGATTATTGTAGCTAAAAGTTTGTAACTTTGGGGACTGGGGAGATAGGTCAGTGGTCTCTGCACCTGCCTGGCAAGAGTAGGGACCCAGGTTTGATCCCTAGTATTGCATGCCATGCTGCTGTGGGGCTCTCCCAAAACTTGTTTTGGTGGAGAATGCCTGTAATCCCAGCACTGGGGAAGCTAAGACAAGAGAATCACTATGAGCTATGTAGTGGGACCCTGTACCAAATACATAAAAGATTTTTTAAAAGTTTGTAATTTTGCAAAAGCCAAATCTTTCTTTTTCTTTTGTACAATTTCATAGTCTCTTAACTATTTGTCATCTGATCCTTATAGTTTTTCTACTAGTAATTTTAGGCTTGGTTTATTCTTTTTTTCTAGTTCCATGCAGCATATCTCTAAGTTGTTCATTTGACATCTTTCTTTTTATTCGATAGAGATGTAATTGAAATAAACATTCCTCATAGAATTCCCTTGCTGTATTCCATAATTTTTGATATTCTGTAGTTTATCTTTAATTTGACTCAAAATATGTAGCATTTCTACATTAATTTCTTCATTAACTCATTTGTTGTTCAAGAGGATGTTACATTAGTTCCATGAATTGGTGAATTTTCTAAAATTCCTCACATTGTTCTTTTCTGGTTTCACAGCATTTTAGCTTGAAAAGATACTTGCAATAATTTGAGACTTTTCACATCAACTTAGTCTTGTTTTGTGTATTCATTGTGTGATCTATTCTAGAGAACACTTTATGTGTGCTTGAGAAGAATGTGTATTATGTTAGTTTTAGGATGAGCATTGTGTGTGTTTATGTTAAGTTCATTTGGTCACAAAATTTCAGTTTTCTTTTCTTTCTTTCCTTTTTTTTTTTTTCCCTTGGTGCAGGGTCTCACTACATAGCCCACAGTAGTAGTGATCCTCCTGATTTCTACCTCCCAAGTGCTAGGATTAGAGGCGCGCACCACCACGCCTGGACTCCATTGCCGGCTCAGCATGTCCGGGGGCTGGGCTGGCGAGGCATGCGGAGCCAGGGATCGAACCTTGGCCACTGCATTTACCCAAGCAAGCACTTAGTCCACTGAGCTATACCGCTGGCCCCCTTTTCTCTTTTTTTCCACTAAATTTCAATGTTCTTTTTCAGACATTCGATCTGGATGATCTATCCAATATGAAAAGTGGAGTAATGAAGCACCCTACTAATACTGGATTATAATCTATCTTTTGCTCAGGACTTCATATTTTTATATGTAGGTGCTCTGATGTTGAGTTTAAATATATTTAAAACTTTCATAGCCTCCTGAAGAACTGGCTTCTTTATCAGAATACAAAGTCTTTATTTTTCTCTTTACAGTTTTTGTTTACACTCTATTGAATTTATAACTAGCTATCTACATTTTCTTTTGGTTTGCATTTGAGTGTGATAAGGTTTCCAGTGTTTTGCCTTGAGTCTATGTGTATCTTAAAAGTTGATGTGAGTTTCTTATGTACAGAAAGTGCATCATAAATACTTAGATCTTTTTAAAAGTTCAGTCACTTTGTATTATTTTATTAGGGAATTTAATCAATATAATTTTTAAGGTAGTGATTATGAGATAAAGATTTAGAAAGTCATTAGGCTTTTAGAAAATTCATTAGAAATTTTCAGCCTGTCTGTATATACAATTTTTACTTCACACTCCCTTAGCATCTTGTGATTTGATATTTCTTTCTTTCTTTCTTTTTTTTTTTTTTTTGGAGTGGTATGCTTTGAATCTTGTCTAATTGTGTGTGTGTGTGTGTGTGTGTGTGTGTGTGTGTGTGTGTGTGTGTGTGTGTGTGTGTTGT